GTTAATATTAAAAATGTTACATCTATGAGTGGGAAATTACAACTAACATATACGTTACATGTAACATGCTAAGTATATGACATTTATTTACTGTGTTTGCTGGGCTCTTTCCGGTGCTGTTTATCTGCTCCGTCAACGGAATTTTCGTGGATAATTTATATCAAAGATAATCTTTTCTGTCTTTATAAATAATCATCTAATATATACTAAATATGGATTTTCTACACAACGTGAAAGTAAAATGATCTATAATACGATCTACACTCCATTCCTCTCAGCCAACACGCGATGTTATTGCGACAATTAGATTAGATTAGATATATTTATTGCCGCCCCAATTGGGGATTACAAGGCGCTTTTTTTTTAAAGGAGCGTTCCCAAACCTTTATTCCTTCCTTTACCCTTTTTCCTTAGCCTAAACTTATACCTAAAACTTAATCTAATTACATATTTTTCGCCACGCCTCTCCTCTTCGCCGCCTTTCTCATCTTTTCTCGCATTTCTGCCCTACCTACACACACACACACGTCCGCCTTTCCCTAACCTTTCTTATTCTAAATTATCTTAACCTACGCAATCTTACATTCTACTTAGCCTATGTTGGACCTCCGCTTCCGGTTACCGTTATTCTTCCACTCCTTTCCTCTCCCTCCCTCTCTCTCTCTCACACACTCACTCACACACTCACTCCCCCCTCTCTCTCCCCTTATCTCCTACCCTCTCTCATCCCCCTGTCCTCCTTTTTCCTCCTTCTCCTTCTCCCCCCCTTTCCCTCTTGCTTCCTCTAACCTTTTTAACCATATTTCCCCTTTCCCCTCCTCTCCTAATATCTCCTTTACCATTTCCTGCCAGCTCTCTTCCCTTCCCAATCCATACATTCCTCCCACACATGCTCCCACGTCTCTAACCCTCTCCCACATATCCTGCACTTCCTATCCTCCTCCTTTTCCCAATACCTATTTCCCTTCATTTCATTCCCCAGTCTGTACCTTGCCATCCTCCTCCATCTACCTTCCGCCCACCCTTTCTTCAAATAGCCCGGAATCCCCTCCCCTTTAATCTGTTTGTACCACTTATTATATTCCGATTTTATCATTTTTCCTACCCTCTCCTCCCTCTGTTCCTTTCCTTCCCATTCCTCAACTTCTTCCCATCTGAACTCCCCCTTTTCCCTTCTTTCCTCTATCTCCCTTAATCCCATCCCCTTACCCTCAAAAAATTCCCTTCTTTCTCTCTCCCACCCTGACAATTCCCCTCCTTTTTTTTGCCCTTTCTTTAATCTCCCCCAAACATATTCTCGCCAACCATCCTCCCTTACCCTCCTCTAACCTTCTCTCATATCCCCATGCTCTTCTTCCCATCCTTGTCCTTATCTTTTCCCTTTGCAATTCCTCCCTTACCATATATCCAGGCGTTCCCCAATCCACTCCTAACATCCATCTCAGATACTTTCTTGTATCCTTTTCAATCCCTCTCTCTCTTCCCATCCCCATATCTCCACCCGTATCCTAAAACCGTCCATACTAACGCATCGAAGAGCCACAACCTCCTCCCCCAGTTATTCCCAAATCTCCTCTTACCTATTCCCCATACCTGTCCCATAATTGCTGCCCCTCTCTTTATTCTGTCCCTTACCTGTCCCTCTTGCCCCCCATTCCTTTGAATCACATATCCTAAATACTTGTACTCCTTTACCTCCTCTAATTTTTTTCCCTTCCAAAACCAACTAGCCTTTTTAACCTCCCTCCCCCCTTCTGCATCTCATCACCTTCGACTTCTTCTCATTCAGTTCCAGTCCCTTCCCCTCCAGATATCTCCCTAACCTCTCCATCATACACCTCATCCCCCCCTCATCTTCTGCCAACAGCACCACGTCATCCGCGTACGCTAATGTATAGACCTTGCCCTCTCCTAATCTCACACCCCCCCATCTCCCTTTCTCCATTTCCTCCTCCAAGTCCGCCATCAACATGTTAAACAGAAGCGGGCTCAGTGGGCATCCCTGTCTCACCCCCTCCCTGTCCAAAACTTCTCCCCCACCTCCTCCCCTATTCTAACCCTGAACCCTATCTCTCCTAGCACTTCCTCGCACCTCCTCACCGTCTCTTCCTTCACCCCCCTCCCTCTTAACGCCGCCATCAACTTCACTCTGTCCACCGAATCAAACGCTGCTCTCAGGTCCACAAACAGTAGTACCATTTGCTTTCCTTTCCTACTTATTTGTCTGTTTATTAAATAATTTAATACATAAATATTGTCCACTGTTCCCATCCCTTTCCTGAACCCCGTTTGATTCGGTGGCAACATCCCTTTTTCCTCTATCTCTCCCCTCAATCTCTCTGCCAACACCGTCGCATATACTTTGTATAAAGACGGTGTCAGAGTTACCCCCCTGTACTCCGAAACCTCCTTTCCCTCACCCCTCTTCAAGATTGGCACCACCAGCCCCTCACTCCACTCCCTTATCCACCCCTCCCCCTTCCATATCCTATTGCACAACTCCCATACCCACTTCTCTATTCCCTCTCCTCCAAATTTCCACACTTCTCCCGGAATCCCGTCCACCCCCACCGCTTTTCTTTCCTTTATCCTACCTATCGCCCTCCTAATTTCTCCCTTTTCTATCTGATCTTCCCCTCTCTCCTTCTCCGTCCTTCTTCCTCCCATTATCACTCTCGACTCTACCCCTCCTAATAGATCTCTAAAATATCTGTTCCATTTTTCCATCTCAATCCCCTCACCCATTCCTCCTTTTCCTTTTCCCCTTTCCCTCCTAACCACCTCCCAAACCTGCCCTTCCGTCCTCGCTTCCATTGCTTTCTTCGTCCACTCCTCATTCTCCTCCTCCTTCTTCTTTCTACATAATCTCTCATACTTCTTTTTTCTTTTCCTGTATTCTTCTCCTTTCCCCCCTATCCTCCTCCACCTTTTTAACTCCTTTACCACCTCCCCCTTCTCTCTTCTACACTCCCTACCAAACCACCCTCTCTTTTTTTCTTTCTTCTCCTTTCCTTCTCTCTCATTCCCCTTATCTAACACTTCCTGTATCTTCTTTTTCTTCTCCTCCCACTCTCCCTCTACACCCTCCTCTTCTTGTTCATCCCTCTGCTTCCCCCAAATTTCCCCTATCTTCTCCCTAAATTCCTCCTTCCCCTCTTTCGTCCAGTTCCATCTCCTCCTCTTTTTTCCTTTTCTTTCCCCTCCTCCTCCTTTCCCTTCTAACCACACTATTAACGGCATGTGATCCGAGTCCATCCTTTCACCTATCTCTAACTTCCTGATTTCCTCTCTTACCTCCTCATTACCTATTATGTAATCTATTACCGATGATTGCGACAATTAAGAAAGAAAGAAAATTGGAAACTAAGGAATTTGTATCCTGTGGTTGGGATCTCAGAAATTCCTTTTTGTTCCTTCTCCTAACTTCCTCTGTAAAGAAATAGACGAGAAAAATATTGGTCCGAAAGTCGGCTGAATCGGGAATCGAACCCGAGACCTTCCGCTTGCCGGGCGACTGCTCTTCCAACTGAGCTATTCAGACACTTACAAATCAATATTTCTCTCAATGTTTATACCCCCAAAGCGTCGTGATTCGTCTCAGATGCGACGAAACAATCGAAACAATAATAAGAATATTAAGTCGGCTTCTTAATTTTTAAAACACGATCTACACTTTATTCCTTTCAGCCAATAGAACCACACGCGATGTTATTGCGACAATTAAGAAAGAAAGAAAATTTGGTTGTAATACCTAATTTGGTTGTAATATATTCGGTTGTAAGTAAACACAGATTTGATTTTGAACATGATTTTAATTGGAAATCACAGACCATTTTGCACAATGAAAAACATGTAAGAAAGAGAGAGATTGCTGAAATGTTCTTCATAAAGAAGCATGATAATATTGTTAACCTACAGAAAGACACTGAGAATTTGACAAATATCTACGAAAAAATAATAAAGATTGTTTAGTGGTGCGTTTCAAACTCAGTCGTTGACGAAACATCATGGAGATGAGACGTGTTCCTCTTTTAACTATTAATTTTAAATAAGATCGGTTTTATGTTGCGTTAATCGCATTTTAATTGATGGGTATGTTTGTTGTTATAATTTAATATTTAAATATGTTCTTGTATGTTACAACATTGTTAAAAACTATTGTGAAATATTGTGTTATAAAATTCTCACTTGATAAGGACCACAACCAAATGGTCGAAACGTCGTAAATTTATTGAATAAAATTGCTAGTTACGTCAAAATTAATTTTACCAAATTTATTTTCACCACTAGCGTCCAATATTAATTTTAATTAATTTTATTTTATTCTATTAGATAAATTTAATAAATAAAATTCTTACAATTAAATGTGTAGATAATATAATTTAAGATTGACTTTTGGTGATCAATAAAATTATATTTGTTTTAAATATAAATTATATATATGTTTATTATTAAAAAAATTAGTATTATTAATAAACTTATTATACATATACAATCATAAATATATTATACAGAGATATGATATACTGTATACGTACAATTACATTCTTTATGTACATAAAAATATTGCTCATATAAATATATATTACATTATAAATACATAAAGAATATGTTTTATATTATAGATAGATAGAATAGTTAATTAACTCTATCATTATAAAAATCTAACAGGTATTACGATTTATATGCTAATATTTGTACAATATCGAATAAATCGTTACATTCTGGGTCATATTTTGGGTCATTGGCATATGAAGATCGATCAAACTTTTTTTCCATTTTGTTCCATTTCTTTTTTAATATGTCCTTAAGGTCTTGCTGTTGTTTAGGTGTCAGTTCATGTATGGAAGGAAGCTCAAAGACGATATGCGCTGAAATAAATAAATTCTCATGAAAGATTTGCACATAAAAGAGTAATTATGTTAGTGACTTTTTCATCACACATTACTGTTAAATAGCTTAATTTAAAAAAAATTTAATTTGTTAATTAAGATCTTATCATTTATAATAAAATAAAAATACTTACGTAAAATGTAATCAGATTTATATATTATATCCTTTGTTTGACAGTACTTTATTTTAAATCCTTGGAATTCAATCAATTGTCTTAAGTAACCATCGGCATTAACGTGATAATAATGAAAATCTGAAACGTATTTCTGCATGTGACATGAAAATATAAAAATAATAATTAAAAATATGTAACAGGTGGTTAGAAAATAGTACATATTTAAAATATATTAACGGATGCATACCATAAAATATTTTCCATAAATTGGATGATTCAGCATTTTATTATACAATCCAAATGCGTCATGTGCGAGGACCATTGTCAAATGGAAGCACCCTCCACGTTTCAGTAGTTTAGATACATTTTTAATTTCTTGCCTATTAAATAAACAAAAAAGAAGTTATTTTCTAAAAGTTACGTATTTATTGAAAAATTTTTAGACTACGAAATTTATTTCAAGCTGATCCTATTTTGATAATAACGGGATAATCTAAATAATTTTTGTTTTCTAAATATGATTATTTTTCAAATATTCCGCATAAATGTCGAAAATATATTTAAAAAAGTGCTGTATCGTGGAAATAATTAACTATATAATATTTAATTTATACTTACAGAACATTATTACGTGAATTTATGGTGGAATATGAGAAAACGTGATCAAATTGACCTATATATTGCTCGGGTAGATTTTCCGCTTGAATATCCAATATATCGAAATCTATTCTTTCGCCAGTGTATTTTCTTCTCGCGTATTCTATCATAACTTCCAAACTATCGGTACCTTGAAGTAACAATTGAGAATTAAGAAATAATTCCGTTTAAATTTATTTTATATATATTTTTTATATAATACTTTTTTTTTTAATGCTTACCTATTAATGTAGAGATTCGTGATGTAGATGCGGCAGCAAGACCATTTTAGTCGTCTGGCCGAAAGCACAATTGATCTCCATGCATTTTCCGGGAGATAATAGTTTTTCCTTAATTGGATCCCATATCATAATATTTCTATCAACGAGTATTTCTTTTAGTGTGCCTCCTGGATGGACATTCATAGTTCTTGATCGATTAAATCAATTACACCGAGTGTATTACAATATTTATATTATTATATTCTTGGAGTTTTGTTTGTCGAACGAAATTCAGGTGACGAATAAATTAGCAGATATTATATGATAGAGGAACACACTGTAATAATACACAAAATTTGCACGACAGAAGATATGACATAGACAGAACGCTGTACACCATAGAATGTGCCGGAGCCAAATTTTTCATCCTGTGCATCTCATCATTTCCCCTCCCCAGCCTAGGCACAAGCCTGACGAAGGGAGGGACCAACCAATTAGGAAACAGCTATTGTGTATGTTCAGCACAAATACTAGAATTTTGTAAAAGATGTATTGGATTGTGTCGATCTTGAAAAAGAGAAGGGGCGAGAGAGAAAGAGAAATCGAGAAGACAGGAGGAAGAGAGCATCGCAAAAGAATAAAAAGTAAAAGAATAATCGAGAAAGAAAAAATAAAAATGCACTGCTCGCAATGGAGAAAAAAAATATATATATATATTGGAAAATTAAATATTAAATAAGAGAACATAGGACGAATCAAGAGACACGGTAGTGTCTTGCGACCAGTTAAGGGCGTAGCGGAGACACCGTGTATCTTAACGCGAGTCGGACATTTGAGTCTTTATAATATTTCGAATCCTCAATAATGGCTGAAGCAATCGAGTTTATACTAGACTTAATCGATAGATTGAGTTTGAATTATATAATAAAAGTGTCTTTATTTCTGCTCTACGTGATTTGTAAGCAGAGATATATAAATGCAAAGTCGAAATATGAAAAATTTCTATTAAGAAACGTCCCCGTCATCATTATAATCTCTAAAAACTCACCTTTAAAAAAAGGTAAAAAAAGGCGACCAGTTAAGGGCACGCCATTAACAAAAATTATCCATTGCAAACCCATGTAGAATCCTATCCTATTGCAAACCCATGTAGAATCCTATGAAAAATTAATCATTGCAAACCCATGTAGAATCCTAGGCAAAATTAACCATTGCAAACCCATGTAGAATCGTACCCATTGCAAACCTATGTAGAATCCTATGAAAAATTAACCATTGCAAACTCATGTAGAATCTTATGAAAAATTAACCATTGCAAACCTATGTAGAATTGTATTAAAAATTATCCATTGCAAACTTATGTAGAATCCTACATTGCAAACCCATGTACAATAGAATTGTATGAAAAATTATCGATTATAAACCCATGTACAATCGTAACAAAAGTAATGAAATAAAAAAAAATTGCGCCAAGTGAAAGTAGAAACTTGTACCAGTGGAAAATTAAAGTTGCAGACATATATAGAGTCGTATAATGAATCAGTAAAAATTTAAATTTGCAAATGTAGAATCGTACCATAAAAAAACTTATCTTTTAAAAAAAAAGATAAACAAGATGCCAAGTCCATGCGCCATGTGAAAAAGAAATAAAAAAATTTTAGTTAAAAAAACTGGGAGCGCTGCTAAATAATATTCTAACAATATTAAAATTAAATTGTTACTTTTAAGCTCATTACAGTTAAAATATGTTTTGTGTTTAAATTAATTAATGTTACTTTAAGGTGCATTGTAATTTTGAAACTTAGCAGCGCGCCCAGTTTTTTTAACTAAAATTTTTTTATTTCTTTTTCACATGGCGCATGGACTTGGCATCTTGTTTATCTTTTTTTTTAAAAGATAAGTTTTTTTATGGTACGATTCTACATTTGCAAATTTAAATTTTTACTGATTCATTATACAACTCTATATATGTCTGCAACTTTAATTTTCCACTGGTACAAGTTTCTACTTTCACTTGGCGCAATTTTTTTTTTATTTCATTACTTTTGTTACGATTGTACATGGGTTTATAATCGATAATTTTTCATACAATTCTATTGTATATGGGTTTGCAATGTAGGATTCTACATAAGTTTGCAATGGATAATTTTTAATACAATTCTACATGGGTTTGCAATGGTTAATTTTTCATAGGATTCTACATAAGTTTGCAATGGTTAATTTTTCATAGGATTCTACATAGGTTTGCAATGGGTACGATTCTACATGGGTTTGCAATGGTTAATTTTGCCTAGGATTCTACATGGGTTTGCAATGATTAATTTTTCATAGGATTCTACATGGGTTTGCAATAGGATAGGATTCTACATGGGTTTGCAATGGATAATTTTTGTTAATGGCGTGCCCTTAACTGGTCACCTTTTTTTACCTTTTTTTAAATTCAAGTAACGTGCAATTGCTAGCCAATTTTGAGAATCATAGTTGACGCGATAATAACCTGTTATTCAACAAATAAATTTTATCGATTATTTTTTTATTGTATGTCATAAAAAATGTATAATTATGTATATATTATAGTAAAAGATACACAATTTTTATCAGTTATAACATTTCACGCCGGTAATCAAAATTAAAAAATAAGACTTTGAAACATTAAGTGGCCTACAGAATTATATAAACTGAAATTATATTTAGTTGGAAAATAAGTTTTATGTGCGCGTTTTTTATCTTAAATTTAAAAGACACATGAATAAAAATATGTAATAAATATAGATATTTTTGTAGAAATAAAATCGAAATGACACCATTATATGTCAAAATGATGTAATTTTGATGTTTAATGTTTGTTACTTTGGATATTATATGATTCACCTTCTTGTTGTCTGTTGACAATAATCCATTTATCTTTCTTAGTAAAGGGTATTTTCAATTCCGGATTTAACTCCGTTAAATATAAATAATTAGAAGAGTCTTATTGTAAGCTAAAATCGGCGTCCGCATCCTTAGTAAAGCTGACAGGTATAAAATAAGATGTTCCATCAGATTCGACGTCAAATTCTTTTGATATTTTTATATGACTGGTTTGATAATCTAGTGTCACATTTAATACAGGATAGTTTAGGTTTTGTACCCAAATATCCATTATCTTTTTTATGTTTATATCAAATGGTTCCAAATAATATTCATGGATGCCAGCCTGCATAAGGTTCCAGAGATTGTCAGTAGTTTTCAAAGTAAAGAAAGTAGTATGTCTGTAAAATTAAACATTTTGATCAAGAATCACTATAGTATGTGTATGTATGTATATATATATATATATATATATATATATATATATATGTAACATATATATGTGTGCATTGATATAAAAATCAATTAGTGTAAAAAAAAACACATAGATCTTTCCAACAAAAAGTACATAAATTGCAACTAGTAGCTGCATAGTTTTTCAGTATATTCAGTATATTTTCAAGTATATAAATTGCAACTAACACAGTTATAGCTATTAAAATAAATATATAATTATTACTAAATAATATAATTTTAAATATTACTAAATAATAGTAATAACTTTAATTTAATACGGCTAAAATTTCTACATAGCTATAAATCTAAACTATGCTAAATTTAATTAATATAATAAAAAATATATGGTTCTTTTTATTATAATACGTTGCATATAGTTATTATTATCCTTAAATAATGACATAACGGAGTGCATTAATATACTTCACACGTATTATATATGCAACTAAATAATAAATTTGTAGCATTTAATTAGTTTTTTTAATGTAAAAAGAATTTAATGTTGAACAAAAATAATGTTTTATAATATACTGGATATTCAAAATAAAGCGTTATATATTTTTGTCTTCAAAAATATTATTTCTAAAAAAAAATGTTTCAAATAAAAGTTGTATGGTTTCAAAGGAACCATATAAGCTGGTGACAATGGTTCGACCTTGGATAGTTGTTTGAAGATCACATGAAAATAACTTTCAATTTCTAAAACTAGTTTCTGGAACTTCCAATTTTTTATTGCATATGTTGTATATTTAATCGGTAATCATTTCGTTATGGTAAGATTTCCAAAAATGACGAATATTCTATTAAATATTTTACAATTTATGTCAAAAAATTGGTAACTTCAAACCTTATAACTCAAAAAGTACTTAATGAAAAAATTATTTATTATAGTGTTTTGAAGTGTTTTCGAGATAAGCTACAAAAATATACACTGAAAAATAGGGGTTTCCAGTTTCCATTTAAGAAATCTAAGATGATCTTTATGTGATCTTGAAACGACTATCCAAGATCGAATCATTGTCCCTCTTGAAGCCAACTTTAATTTAAAACATTTTTTTAGAAACAATATTTTTGGAGATTAAGATTTCTAATGCTTTATTTTGAACATCCGGTATAAGTACTTTTTACTTAAAATTGATTCTCTATATAAAATAGTTATTTACAAAATCACCCTCATTTTATTATATTGCATAAAATAATGCAAATAAATATTATGCTAATTATAGTTTAATTTTTAATTTAATGATTTTTATCCTTTTATTATGTTTTAATATTAAATTTGATATATTTAAGAAAGTACACACACACACAATATATATGATTGCATAGATTATTTCAGTATTTATATATATGTCGCTGCCAATGGTTATTTACAGCAAATAGCTTTTGACTAGTCAAATGCTATCTGCCATATGTCAAATGGTTTTCTTATGGACCTCTTTTCAAATGCTTTCTTCTCAGCTTTCCTAGTCAAATGTTATTTTCCTAATAAAATATTATTTGACTGAACCTCTGTTAGGCAAATGGTATTTAGCATATACTTTTTGACGCGAAGCGAGGTTCTATATAGGTTTCCAACATTCCATGGGATTGTAACATTGTATATATTACCATTGCAAACCCATGTAGAATCCTACCTATGAAAAATTAATCATTGCAAACCCATGTAGAATCCTAGGCAAAATTAACCGTTGCAAACCCATGTAGAATCGTACCCATTGCAAACCTATGTGGAATCCTATGAAAAATTAACCATTGCAAACCCATGTAGAATCCTATGAAAAATTAACCATTGCAAACCCAGAGTAAAATTGTATTAAAAATTATCCATTGCAAACTTATGTAGAATCCTACATTGCAAATCCATGTACAAAAGAATTGTATGAAAAATTATCGATTATAAACCCATGTACAATCGTAACAAAAGTAATGAAATAAAAAAAATTGCGCCAAGTGAAAGTAGAAACCTGTACCAGTGGAAAATTAAAGTTGCAGACATATATAGAGTCGTATAATGAATCAGTAAAAATTTAAATTTGCAAATGTAGAATCGTACCATAAAAAAACTTATCTTTTAAAAAAAAAAGATAAACAAGATGCCAAGTCCATGCGCCATGTGAAAAAGTGTTAAACAAAAAAGTATTTTTAAATAAAAAAATCTATCAATTGACAAAAATTTATATTCTAAAATTAATATCTCTACGAAAAGTAATGTCCAAAAATTGCGCGAATAAATAAACATTTTTATAAAAATTAAAATTTAAAAACTTACGCAAATTTAAAATTAATATAAAATAAAAAAAAATAAAAAAATTTTAGTTAAAAAAACTGGGCGCGCTGCTAAGTTTTAAAATTACAATGCACCTTAAAGTAACATTAATTAATTTAAACACAAAACATATTTTAACTGTATTTATTCGCGCAATTTTTGGACATTACTTTTTGTAGATATTAATTTTAGAATATAAATTTTGTCAATTGATAGATTTTTTTACTAAAATTTTTTTAACACTTTTTCACATGGCGCATGGACTTGGCATCTTGTTTATCTTTTTTTTTAAAAGATAAGTTTTTTTATGGTACGATTCTACATTTGCAAATTTAAATTTTTACTGATTCATTATACGACTCTATATATGTCTGCAACTTTAATTTTCCACTGGTACAAGTTTCTACTTTCACTTGGCGCAATTTTTTTTATTTCATTACTTTTGTTACGATTGTACATGGGTTTATAATCGATAATTTTTCATACAATTCTTTTGTACATGGATTTGCAATGTAGGATTCTACATAAGTTTGCAATGGATAATTTTTAATACAATTTTACTCTGGGTTTGCAATGGTTAATTTTTCATAGGATTCTACATGGGTTTGCAATGGTTAATTTTTCATAGGATTCCACATAGGTTTGCAATGGGTACGATTCTACATGGGTTTGCAACGGTTAATTTTGCCTAGGATTCTACATGGGTTTGCAATGATTAATTTTTCATAGGTAGGATTCTACATGGGTTTGCAATGGATAATTTTTGTTAATGGCGTGCCCTTAACTGGTCGCCTTTTTTTACCTTTTTTTTCTTTACATCAATTGATTATCTAATCGATTGATATAAAAATATGTGTGGTTATATATATATATATATATTTATTTCAAAAATTTTAATTTTTTAGTTAAAATATCGAGATAACAATATTTATATTACATTTCTTTAAATTTTTTATTGCATGTAATAGCATTTATTCAAAAATTATTATTTAATTTAATTTTTATAAAATCTTTTTCTTTAATTATCGAAAACGACTCAAAAATTGGACCGTTGAACACTGTAATATACGTATACGTACATACCTATAATATGAAAAAAAGGAGCAAGTGTCTTAATTTCAATATCGTTAGCATGTTTTGCAAAATAGATATTAAAATTTGCATTTATTTGACGAGATTTATGTTGAAGTTCGACTATGTTCAAGTCCACCATTCCGGTACCTGAAAAGACCTATAGACAGATTGATGCAATCAGGTAAATATATAATAATAATCGAAAAATAGTTTTAAATTAGCAATATGCATTAACATACAAACAATTATTTGCTGCATCTAAAAACAGCTTTGCTTTTATATATAATATAATTTTATCATATTATGTATTATAAAATTGTAAAATTATAATATTTTTAATTTGTAAAATTATAATAATTTAATTTGTTTTTTTAAATAATACGTAACTATTTGACATAAAAAATTTTTGTTAAATTATATTATAAGATATACTTGCAAAGTTTTATTTCTTGATTATAATAACATAATCTAAATACACTCAATGCTATATGTTCTATAATATTTTTTACGAAATAATTAAGATATTGTAAGAAATTAAGAAAATATCATAACACATATTTGCATTTCTTCTATTGTTAGCGAATGAAAAGACAATTTCAGAATTTTCTTACGTTTGCCAAAAGAATTAATAAAAAAAATATATATATAAGCACAGTCTATCGGTATGTCTGTCTGTATATCTGTGTCTGTATGACCGCGAACTACTTATCCATGCTAAATTTTGCGAACTACTTCCACATTTATAGACCAATTTTCACCAAATTGGTACCAAAATGTTGCAAATTTTTTGAAGGTGGCTGCTGTGTGTTAAGTTTTACACCTCCATCCACGGTGCGTGGATGGAGGTGTAAAACTTAAAAAAACCACCTACGCAATCGCATATATATAAACCGATTTTCACGAAATTGGTACCAAAATTTTGTAAATTTTTCGGAGATGACTACTAGGTAGCTTTTTTTTAGTTTTACACTCCCACTCATGCACCCACCCACGCATACACGTCTTAATGGACCGATTTTTTCGAAATCGAAACCAAAATTTAGCAAATTTTTTGGGGGATAGCTACTATATAATGTTTTTTAAGTTTTGCCAACCCACTAATCCACCCACGCATTCAAGTATTTATTGACTGATTTTTTCGCAAATGGTACTAAAATTTTGAAAATTTTTCGGAGGTGGCTACTATGTATGTTTTTTAAGTTTTACACTACGATCCACGCATCCACCCACGCATTCATGCATTTATTGACCAATTTTCACGAAATTAGTACAAAAATTTCGCAAATTTTTTGGAGATGACTATTATATAATTTGTTTTTAGTTTTGCCCCCACACGCACCCACCCACGCATTTACACATTTATTAACTGATTTTCCCAAAATTGGTAACAAAATTTTGCAAATTTATCGGGAATGGCTACTACTGTGGTTTTTTTTATTAAAAAAATTTTTTATGTAGAGGAGGCTGTTTTCGGAAAAAAAATTTGTTTAGATTTCTACGCCAATGTGTTTAGAATGTTCCAAAACATTGAAAAAAATTATTTTTTTTAATTTTACACCTCCAATCATCCACCCAGTCACGCACTTCCTTAATGGATCGATTCCCTTGAAACTGGTACTAAAATTTTGAAAATT